TTATGTCAATATTCATCTTATTTCTCCAAAATAATATTTGTCATATTTAAAGGGACTTGAAGGAGATACACACGTACACATCTATTGGATATACATATTTGGTTGCAATTGTCATTTTCGAGCTTTGCTATATTAAAACTTAAACTCAAATTGCTATTACACTATTAAGCTAAGTTGATAAGTTTGGGTTCTTGCTCAAACCTAGCTTGAATCCTAGACCATATATTAAGCTCTCACGTTTTTGTAATACTTGAAAATATGTGAAGTCTATGTCAAGCTCGATTGAGCTAAGAGTGCTAGCTCCTTAACGAGAAATACCTATATAGACCTCTAGTCTATCGCACAAAGAAGCACATTATTGGGCTCTAATTTGAATATTAAACAGATTTAGAATTATCTAACTTTCTGCGATTCTTAATGCACATTCAAGTGATTTAATTATTCGGGAGTGATAAAGGTCGATTTCCAATTTTGACGTCTCAATTATCTGTAACGACAATTTTTGCTTATAAAATCTATACTACTTTCAGTGAAATTTTTTTAATTTTCTTATTTATCTCTAATTATTACTATAAAGTTGATTATACCTTACATATCTTTATTATAATGTCATTATTTTTCCTNTCGGGAGTGATAAAGGTCGATTTCCAATTTTGACGTCTCAATTATCTGTAACGACAATTTTTGTCTATAAAATCTATACTACTTTCAGTGAAAATTTTTTAATTTTCTTATTTATCTCTAATTAATACTATAAAGTTGATTATACCTTACATATCTTTATTATAATGTCATTATTTTTCCTTCTATGTCCTATTATCCTACAAATTTCATTTAAACCAAAACTCTTCTTATCATATAGTATTGGCTTATTAGGTCTCTAACCATTCACTTATTCTTATAGTGTTAGATCTTTAGTACAATGAGAGCTTCACTATATAATACACGTACATAAAAAGCATGATTCAAAATTTTATCAAAATATAGTTGTCAAATTAAATTTTATATGTCATATTTGTTCTTTTGGTATGCAACAANGGCTTATTAGGTCTCTAACCATTCACTTATTCTTATAGTTTTAGATCTTTAGTACAATGAGAGCTTCACTATATAATACACGTACATAAATAGCATGATTCAAAATTTTATCAACATATAGTTGTCAAATTAAATTTTATATGTCATATTTGTTCTTTTGGTATGCAACAATGTCATCACTATTAATATAAACAATAGTAAACCTAGAACCAACAGGTATTTGATCTAATGATACTGCTTATCTTGTAAACGCTTACCTTTTTGAAGTCAAGGGTCCCCCTCCCCCTCCAAAAAAAAAATAGTAAACCTAGAATATAATTAGATATGCAAACACTCAAGAATGATAATTTTTAAGCTCCACTATAAACAAACAAAAGAAATGTTTAAAGGGGCTAGAGAGATACCTAAAAANTGCTTATCTTGTAAACGCTTACCTTTTTGAAGTCAAGGGTCCCCCTCCCCCTCCAAAAAAAAATACTAAACTTAGAATATAATTAGATATGCAAACACTCAAGAATGATAATTTTTAAGCTCCACTATAAACAAACAAAAGAAATGTTTAAAGGGGCTAGAGAGATACCTAAAAAAAAAATAAGATTATTTACTCCAAGAGAGGTAGAATAAATCAATAATTAGATTTAGTAATAATTAAAATAAGAATTAATTATTTGATATATAATTTATAATTTGATTTAATTACAAATATAATTTAATTTTGATTAAAAAATATTTATTTAAATACATTCGCATGCATGCACGTCGTGCATTACTAGTTAATACAAAAACAATGTCAAATTACGGGCGTTTGATTTTGAACAAAAATTAGTGGTGTTAATTCTTTTTGGTGTACTTCTCACATGCACTATTGTTTAATTGTTGGTGGATTTGATAATGACTAGGGTTGGATCGACGTATTTTTTTATCTTTGATTTGGTGATAACTTTGATGAATTTAATAAAGACGAGAGCTTGATCATCTTGTTTTTCGATCTTAGTTTTGGTGTTGACTTTTGTGGATTTAGATGATGAGAACTTGATCAACATGATTATTGATCTTCAATTTGGAAATGACTTTGGTGAATTTGATGAATGCGACGATCGGGTTGACGTAATTCTCAATTTTCGTTTTCATGAGGACTTTGGTGGATTTGTTGAAGATGGGGTTGGATTTACGAGATGCTCATTTTTCGATTTGATAATGACTTTATTGGATCTTCTCAGTAGTTTTTGTGTTGAATGACTAGANTCATGAGGACTTTGGTGGATTTGTTGAAGATGGGGTTGGATTTACGAGATGCTCATTTTTTGATTTGATAATGACTTTATTGGATCTTCTCAGTAGTTTTTGTGTTGAATGACTAGAAATTAATTTGAATCTCTCGAAGAAGGAACTTGACGGTGTGCTCTTCTCCTCAGAGATAGATTGACAAGACTTCAGTTGGAGGTTGACTTCAACAGAGGTTCGTTGTTGTTCTTCTCTTCTCCTCATGGAATGGACTGGGGCGGAGCTTTCTTGATCTTCCCTCCTCCTTCATTTCCTCTCCATTGGTCTCTTTTCTTGGAAGACCCTATGTTTCCTATTTATAGAGCTATCAGTAGTTGATAGGTCAGGCCCAAGGGCCCAACTCATGTTACGAGTCTAGTTTAAATTAAGAGCCCAACTCCAAGAAATCCAGTGCCCGAAGTAATCCACGTTCGGTCAAGCTCATCAGATTCGCGGAGCTACATCAACANTCCATTGGTCTCTTTTCTTGGAAGACCCTATGCTTCCTATTTATAGAGCTATCAGTAGTTGATAGGTCAGGCCCAACTCATGTTACGAGTCTAGTTTAAATTAAGAGCCCAACTCCAAGAAATTCAGCGCCCGAAGTAATCCACGTTCGGTCAAGCTCATCAGATTCGCGGAGCTACATCAACAGGGGAGCATGCAAGGGTCATCCAAGAGCCTCTATTTAATCACAATTAAGTCGCTTTCATCCGTTATGAGACGACTATAAATTGTAAGTCCCGCCAACACTTGGGGGGCATCACACTCAATCGAGCATATCTCCCCTCTCCCTCTTATTGCTTGTAACTCTCTACTCTCCCTACACACTTGAGTTAATAAAATACTCGGTAATCCTAGCCATTCAATGTGGACGTAGGTCACGTGGACCGAACCACTATAAACCTTATNTTGCTTGTAACTCTCTACTCTCCCTACACACTTGAGTTAATAAAAATACTCGGTAATCCTAGCCATTCAATGTGGACGTAGGTCACATGGACCGAACCACTATAAACCTTATTTTACTTTTGTCCTTATTTCTCACTTGTCAATTACTGGATTTTTTACTGTTCAATTGACAGATGGTGTACAAACCCAATTTGTTCATCATTAGTTTGGCGCCGTTTGTGGAAACAACAAAATTCTCACCTAATTACCTTTCTTGTTGTACAAATGACGTTCACCACCAGATCCATGAATCAGGCTGAAGACAATCCAGCACAAGAGGAAGAGGTTGCTCCTCCACCAATCAATCTCATTTCGAATGCACAATAGATACTAGAAATAATGTAGCAGCTTGTAGCTCAGAACCAACAGATTTTGAAATTGATGCTCGCTGGACAAGGAGGAACACAACCTGTGATACTCCAAACCAGAGAAGCTCCCCACTTGGCCCCCAAGGGGGCTCCCCATACAGGGGAGCCCACCATGAGGGGCCTCCACCTCCACCTCAAACTCCCTCTTCCGGAG